TCCCTACAGAAGAAGAGTGATTTAGTAATTTGGGACAGCTAGGAGGGCACTTAAGGAGAGTCTTTTAATGTATGAAAACAAATTGTGACCGTTATTATTTTTATTTTCATTAAAATTACTTTAGAAGTGCTAAGATGGAAAGAGAATGCTATGGAAATCAATGCCTTACTCAGTGCCAGACAAGGTACCTCAACATCCCCAATTTTACAGTATGGGGGCTTTTCTTAAATAAGTCAGCTAAGGTCTACATTCGCTTGTGTTTGTTAGAGTGAAAAACAGAGAAAAGATATTCATTATGCACACAGCAAAAGGACTGGGATGGCTCCATGAATTTAAAATAGTAAAAACCTTTAAAAGGTTTTCCTGCCTTTACTGTGCTGTTGGAAAAATCCATTCAGTTCTGCGTTTACCTTGGACCACTTTAGATGCTACAGGCTTGCAGTTATAGTGACTCTGCAGGGGAAAATGAAGGAGAAGAAAAGCCCTGGCATCACAATGCTACAATGTCTTTAATGTTCTATAGTAATAGCTGTGAATATCAGTATCATTTTGGTTTCAAAAATCTTAAAAGTTTTTTTTCTTCTGGGCAGCTACTTTGCTGCTTCATCTGAAGTATAACTGGAATCTCTCATTTATTCCTTGTATCCCAGTTACTTTCTCTTTAAGAAAGCATTCTTCAAAGGTTTTATTTTCTAATTTTCCTTGTATTATTTAACATGCAAATATATTTAAAGTATGTGTGAGATTTTAAAGTATTTGTTTTTTCTAATGGTACAAATGAGAAAAAACTTACTTAAAGTGCACATGAAGCTACCATGAGTGGGGCATAAGTTGAGTACCTGCAAAAGCACCTAGTACATCATTATTATCAGCAGAATCTGAATTTCTCCCCTAGAGTCCATGTCAGACGCACAGACAAAGTGGGAACCGAAGCAGCCTTTCATCCTATTGAGGAGTACATGGTGCACGTGGAAGAACATTTCCAGCTTCTCGCACGTAGAATGCAAGTGGACAAAAAAAGAGTATATTTGGCCACAGATGACCCTTCTTTATTAAAGGAGGCAAAAACAAAGTAAGTTAGACCAATGAATGATTCTAGAGTGAGGTTTCTCTTAGAATCGTTAACTGCCTTGACTCATGATTCTTGTTACATTATTCTCCATCCCGTCGTCAGGATTTGACTCATACACACACACATGTCCAGCATGTTTTTCAAGCCACTGGGGCCAAGATTCAAACCATGGTCAGCCAGCTCCCTTAACTGCCTATGGGAAGAGTCACTCCTGAAGCTCTGAGCCTGGCTCGAGGTTGAGAGCGGGTCCCAAGGTGGGTTGTTTCAATCAGCTGTGAGTGGAGAGGTCACTGGCAGCTAGCTGGCCCCAGGTCTGCTGGCCTATCTCGGTGTGTTCAGGGAGAAAAGGGCCACTGCATGCAAGAAGTGTGTAGCTAGGGACCGGTCAGGGTCCTAGCTCAGTGGGCCAGGGAGGGAGGGGCCGCCGCCAGCAAGTGGTGCGTGGCTGGGCACTGCTCAGTATCCCAACTTCGTGGGCT